ATCTATCTATTTATCTATGTATCTATATCTATGTATCTATCTATACCTCTATCATCTATCTATCTATCTATTCATCTATCTCTCTATCTATCCATCCATCCGTCCCCCCTTCCCTTCCTCCATTTGTTTATCCATCCATCCTTCCATCCATCCATCCATCCATCCATCCATCCATCCATCCATCCATCCATTCATCCTTCCATCCATCCATCCATTTATTTATCTATCTAATATGTTGATCATCTATCCTATCTATCTATCATCTGTCCCTCCATCTATGTATCCATCTATCTTTCTATCTATCCAGCTATCAATCTTTCTGTCCATCTATCTGAATCATTGGAAGAGAGGTTACGAACATCACATTTTTACCCCTAAATACTGCACTTCAGCTTGCCTCTCCTGAGGGTAACTGTGATACTATTATCACATCTAATAAATGAATCCCATAATTTTATCTATTATTCAGTCTACATTCAAATTTTCCTGAGCATCCCAAGAATATCTGTAAGAGCTAATTATTTTTTGAACCAGGATCCGACAAATGATTTTCATGTTTTGCTTTGGTTATGACATCACCTTCTTCTCTTAATCTAGAACAATCCCCTGCTTTTTTCCTTTCTAGGACATTGACAATTTGGGAATCCAGGCTAGCTGACTTAAAAATGTCCCAGAGTCTGGAGGTGTCTCATGATTTCCTCATGAATGTGTATTGTTTTGAAAAATATAATACAGAATAGAAAGCATTTCTGATCTCTCCATTTGCAGCTCTTCCTCACGGGTCCCTCCCACTTTCTCTCTTACTCAATAGCTGCACTGCGTCTTCATGTCCAAGCAAAAACCTTTCTCTCTCTCTTCCTCTTACTCCTCCAGCCTAACTCATCAGCAAAGCCCATCCGCTCAGCCTCCAACACACACCTAGGCTCTTTCAGCCCTGTCCCTTCACCGACAGCCGTGTCCAAGCCCCCATCTCCTCTCCTCTTCCCTCCCGACTAGTCTCTGCTCCCACTGGGCCTCGGACAATTCATTCTCCTCTCAGCAGTCTAGGAGTGCACAGATCTCCAGAAAGATGATGGCTGGAGCCACATCCCTCGTCCCTCATTTTCAATGCTCTCTTTGAGCAAATACAACAGTGGGGAGAGGAAAGTACTCGGGGTCTGAAGGGAGGAAGTGAGGGGGAGCCCAGGGTCCCGGAGAGGTATATGCCGGCACCCTCCTCACTGGCCTCACTTCTGCCTCTTCCCACTCCCTTGTTTGCCAGTCCCAGTGAGTTACTGGAACCAAGAACCCTTCCTGGCTGAAAACTCTCCCAGGGCCACCCAGGCTATTTACTGAAGTATTTATTTATTTTGAGACGGAGTCTTGCTCTGTTGCCCAGGCTGGAGTGAAATGGTGCTATCTTAGCTCACTGTAACCTCCGCCTGCCAGGTTCAAGTGATTCTCCTGCCTCAGGCTTCTAAGTAGCTGGGATTACAGGCATGCACTACCACATCTGGCTAATTTTTGTATTTTTAGTAGAGACGGGGTTTTGCCATGTTGGTCAGGCTGGTCTTAAACGCCTGACCTCAGGTGATCCACCACCTCGGCCTCCCAAAGTGCTGGGATTACAGGCGTGAGCCACTGTGCCCAGCTTGCCCCAGGACATTTGGAGCACAATCCCAGCTCTTGGCTTTGGACAACCAGGCTCACCTCTGGCCATTTTGCTCCCACTCAGTCTCCCTTAGTCACTTTTTTTTTTTTTTGAAACAGGGTCTCATTTTGTCATCCAGGCTGGAGTGCAGTGGCATAGACAAAGCTCACCGCAGCCTTGACCTCCTGGGCTCAAGCAATGCTCCTGCATCAGCCCCTCAAGTAGCTGGGACTACAGGCATGCACCACCGCACCTGGCTAATTTTTGTGTTTTTTGTAGGGAGGGGATCTCACTATGTTGCACAGGCTAGTCTCAAACTCCTGAGTTCAAACGATCCTCCTGGCTCAGCCTCCTAAAGTGCTGGGATTGCAGGTATGAGCTACTGCGTCTGGCCCCGTAGCTACCATTACATTCTTCACAGTGCCTGTCACTATCTGGAATTTTCTCACTAGTTGTGTATGTGTACACACACAGGATTATGTACACATACGCCATAACCGACCAGGCGTGGTGGCTCACGCCTGTAATCCCAGCACTTTGGGAGGTCGAGGTGAGCGGATCACTTGAGATCAGGAGTTCAAGACCAGCCTGGCTAACATGGCGAAACCCCGTCTCTACTAAAATACAAGAATTAGCTGGGCGTGGTGGCATGTGTCTGTAGCAGGAGAATTGCTTGAACCTGGGAGGCGGAGGTTGCCGTGAGCCAAGATTGTGCCACTGCACTCCAGCCTGGGCAACAAGAGTGAGACTCCGTCTCAAAAAAAAAAAAAAAAAAAGAAAGAAAAATGAAAGACAAGGCTATGCAACTCGACTCTAAGAAGCTAACCGCATGTGACCTTTTAAATTTAAATGAATTAAGATTAAAAAACTGTGTTCCTCAATTGCGCCAGCCACATGTGAAGTGCTTGATGGAAACAGGTGTCTGGAGCCACCATACTGAACAGAGCAGTTATAGAATGTTCCCATCACTGTAGAAAGGGGATAGTTTCCCTTTCTCAAAGTTCTATCATTCAGTCCACAGCAGGGTATTCATTTATTTATTTATTGTCATCCAGGCTGGAGTGTGGTGGTGTGATCTCGGCTCACTTGCAGCCTCCACCTCTGGGACTTGAGCGATCCTTCCACCTCAGCCTCCCTAGTAGCTGGGTCCACAAGTGCAGGACACTACGCTTCTTGGCTAATTTATTTTCTTGCCTTCTTTTTTTGTTTTGTTTGTTTTGTTTTTTGAGATGGAGCCTGTCTCTGTCCCCCAAGCTGGAGCGCAGCGGCACGATCTTGGCTCACTGCAGCCTCTGCCTTTCGGGGTTCAAGCGATTCTCCTGCTTCAGCCTCCCAAGTAGCTTTGACTATAGGCTTGAGCCAAAATTCCTGGGTCATTTTTGTATTTTTAATAGAGACAGGATTTTGCCATGTTGGCCAGGCTGGTCTTGAACTACTGACCTCACGTGATCTGCCTGCCTTGGCCTCCCAGAGTGCTGGGATTACAGGTGTGAGCCAGAGCATCCGGCCCCCTTCCTCCCTTCCTTCCTTTTTTCCTTCCTTCCTTTCCAGACGGGGTCTCATTATGTTGCCCAGACTGGGAGAATAATTTTTTTTTATTAGTCCATATAGATCTGTCTTAATGTTGTTTCCAGCTACAAAATATTCTATCGTGTAGATCTGTACTGTTTGAGATGGTAATCACTAATCACACATGGCTATTTAAATTTGTCTTCTTCTTCATTTTTATTTTTCAGAGATGAGGTCTTGCTATGTTGCTCAGGCTGGAACGTAGTGGCACAATCATAGCGCACTGCAGCCTCAACCTCCCAACCTCAAGTGATCCTCCCGCCTCAGCCTCCCGAGTCGCTGGGACTATAGGTGTGCAGCACCACAGCCAGCTAAATTTAAATTAATTAAAATTAAATAAAGTTAGTCCCTCAGGTGTACTGGCCACATTTCAAATGCTCAGTGGAAACACATGACTGGAGCCACTGTACTGGGTGGCGACACAGGCTACTTCCATCACTGCAGAGAGCTCTATCGGATGGTGCCGGTGTAGATGGACCACACTTCAGCTAGCAAACCCTTCCTGTTGGATATTCAGCTTGCTTCCAGTATGGTGCTACTAAAACCAGTGCAATGAAAGCTATTCTTTTTCTTTTTCTTTTTTATTCTTTTTGAGATTGGGTCTCACTGTCTCCCAAGGTGGAGTGCAGTGGTGTGATCTTGGCTCACTGCAACCTCCACCTCCTGGGTTCAAGTGATCCTCCCACTTCTTTCCACTTCTTTCTCCCAAGTAGCTGGGACTACAGACATGCGCCACCATGCCCAGCTAACTTTTGTATTTTGTGTAGAGACGGGGCTTCACCATGTTGCTCAGGCTGATCTCAAATGCCTGCCTGCCTCGGCCTCCCTAAGTGCTGGGATAATAGGCATGAACCACATCACCCAGTCAAGGCTATTTCTTTTTTTAAAATTTAAACAGGGGCCATGCTAAACTACTCTGTATCATTCCAATTTTAGCATATGTGCTGCCAAAGTGAGCACAAGTATTTTATTTGTTATTGTTATTATTATTTTTTGAGACAAAGTCTTGCTCTGTCGCCCAGGCTGGAGAGCTGTGGCATGATCACAGCTCACTGTAGCCTCGACCTCCCGGGCTCAAGTGCTCCTCCTACCTTAGCCTTCCAAGTAGATGGGACTACAGGCATGCACCACCATGCCTGGCTAAATTTTTGTATTTTTTGTAGAGATGGAGTAGCACTATGTTGCCCAGACTGGTCTCAAACTCCAGAGCTCAAGTGATTGGCGCACCTCAGCCTCCCAAAGTGCTGGGATTACAGATGTGAGCCACTGTATCCGGCTGGCTATATTTATCCATAGATTTTTGCCTTTGTGTGCATATATATCTGAAAGATAACTTCTCAAAGCAAACTTGCTGGGTCAAAGGCCATATGCATCTTAAATTTAGACAGGCTTTGTCAAATTCCCCTCCGAAGAGGTTACACAAATTTACCCTTCTACCAACAGCAGCCAGCAGTGCCTGCTTCCCCACACCCTAACAACACAAGGAGCTTCTCACACTAATTTTGTATTTTTAGAAGAGATGGGGCTTCTCCTTGTTGGTCAGGCTGGTCTTGAACTCCTAACCTCAGGTGATCCACCCGACTCGGCCTCCCAAAGTGCTAGGATTACAGGTGTGAGCCATCGTGCCCGGTGATAGTTTTACCTTTAAAATTGTTCTGTGTTCCCTCACACAATAAGGACCTCATTGATTATTTTACTTGACAAAGTCACTTTCCATGTGGAAAACATTTCTTGAAGCCCTTGGGATCTCAGCTGGGGACGTGGGGACTTTGCCCTCCAGGAGGGCATCTAATGTTTGTAATGATTGCCTCATCTGTCATTTGCACTGAGCTCATGTTGCTAATTATTAGCTATGGTGGATGCAGAGAGAAAGACGGAATTGGATGTGGAACGGCAGAAGCTATGACAAGCTGCAAGAGGGCCTGGCTGTCACTGGTTACAAAATTACAATATTTCTCAAAGGTAATTTTGTTATAAAGTAATTGTGCAGTTTGTTCATTTAACTGTGCAGTTTATTTGTTCATTTAACAAATAAGGGACTGTAGAGATGGGGTCTTGCTATGTTGCCTGGGCTGATCTGGAACTCCCGGGCTCAAGTGATCCTCCTGTCTCGGCCTCCCAAAGTGCTGGGATGACAGATGTGAGCTACTGCACCCAGCCGGCAGGGCTGTCCTTTTTCACTTGCCCCAACCTCAGTGGCTGATGTACTGATTTGCTCCTGGAATCTAAGATTCATGCAGCCACAGAGGGACAACCCTGGCGACTTAGTTGAAGTGTGTAACATTGAAAAGAATTATAGCCGGGTGCAGTGGCTCACACCTGTAATCCCAGAACTTTGGGAGGCCGAGGTGGGCTGATCATAAGGTCAGGAGTTTGAGACCAACCTGCCCAACATGGTGAAACCCTGTCTTTACTAAAAATACAAAAATTAGCTGGGCATGATGGCATGCACCTGTAATCCCAGCTACTTAGGAGGCTGAGGCAGGAGAATTGCTTGAACCCGGGAGGTGGGGGTTGCAGTGAGTTGAGATTGCACCACTGTACTCCAGTCTGAGAGACAGAGCATGACTCTGACTCAAAAAAAAAAAAAGAAAAGAAAAAAAAAAAAAGAAAAAAAAGAATTATGGTGTGCCCATGCTCACAGCCGAAATCAGAAAACAACTCTAAAAAACAACCCTAAAAGTCCACCAGTGTAGGCCAGGCACAGTGGCTCATGCCTATAATCCCAGCACTTCGTTCTGTTACGCAGGCTGGAGTTCAGTGGCACAATCTCGGCTCACTGCAACCTCCACCTCCCGGGTTCAAGCAATTCTCCTGCCTTAGCCTCCCCAGTTGCTGGGATTACAGGTGCCTGCCACCACACCTGGCTAATTTTTGTATTTTGAGTAGAGACGGGGTTTCACCATATTGGTCAGGCTGGTCTTGAACTCCTGACCTCAATCTATCCACCGGTCTCGGACTCCCAAAGTGCTGGGATTACAGGCGTGAGCCACTGCACCCAGCCAAGAACACTTTTTATATTTTATTTTCACACTGAAAATCAGTCACATTTGCTTCAGCCTCAAAGAGCGTGAAATTAAATGAGTACTGATAGCAAACCGCACTTTTTTCTAAACAGGAAATTTGTTAATGGGTATGGAGTTGTAGTTTTGCAAGATGAAAATGGGGACCGAGTTTCAGTTTGGGAAGATGAAACCGTTCTGGAAATGAATGGTGGCAATGGTTGCACAGCAATGTGAATGCCCTTGGTGTCACACATACAAATGGATAGAATGGTTAAAAACTATGGGCATGGTGGTAAGACATGGCAAAGTGTTTAGAAAGCAGGCAGAAACAGGAAGCAATTGTTGAGTCTTCCATTTGGGGGGCTTCTAAAATGTTCCCTGAAGGTGGAGCAGTGCCCCCTCCCAGCGTGGGGAGGTTTCTGTGCGTGCTCACGGGCACCACGCTGAATTAGGGACTGGCAAGGGCCCTGGTGAAATGTTACTGAACTTAAATTGAGAGTCCACGGCCCAGAAGCCAGAGCATCTCTCAAGCATATGGAGGCTGTCTTGGCACCCCAGTTCTCCCCAAGGCCGCCACAAAAACACAAGGCAGCCACAAGGGGGAGTGGGGAGGTGACTCACTCCTAGCCGGGTGCTGGCATCACCTAAGGGAAGTGGGCATGGAGTGTGGTACCCGCAGGCGGCGCCACCGTTCCCCACTCCCTCCCTGCACCCCTCCATCTCCTCCGTCCTTTAAAAACTGTGATAAAATACCCATAACATAGAACTCGTCATTAAAAAAAAAATCACCATTTTAACCATTTTGAAGTGTACAGTTCAGTCGCATTTAGGACAATGTTATGCAACCACCTCCTCCATCTAGTTCCAGAACATTCCTTCACCCCCAAAGGAAACCCCTGCACCTATTAGGAGTCACCTCCTATTTCCCCCTCTCCCCAGTCCCTGGCAAATACCAATCTGTTTTCTGTCTCTTTTTCTTTTGTTTTTTAGACACGGTCTTGATCTGTCATCTAGGCTGGAGTGTAGTGGTGCAATCATAGCTCACTGCAGCCTCAAATCCCTGGCCTCGAACAATCCTCCTGCCTCAGCCTCCCAAAGTGCAGAGATAACAGGCATGAGCCCCGCTGTGTTCTGTCTATGGATATGCTTACTCTGGAGATTTCCTATCAATGGAATCTTGCATTGTGTGGCGTTTTGTTTCTGGCTTCTCTCACTTTTTTTTTTTTTTTTTTTTTTGAGACAGAGTCTTGCTCTGTCACCCAGGCTGGAGTGTAGCGGTGTGATCTCAGCCCACTGCAGCCTCCGCCTCCTGGGTTCAAGTGATTCTCCTGCCTCAGCCACCTGAGTAGCTGGGACTACAGGCGCCTGCCACCATGCCTGGTTAATTTTTTTGTATTTTTAGTAGAGATGGGGTTTTGCCATGTTGGTCAGGATAGTCTCGAACTCCTGATCTCAGGTGATCTGCCCACCTCAGCCTCCCAAAGTGCTGGGATTACAGGCGTGAGCCATTGTGCCTGGCCCTGACTTCTCTCACTTAGCATCATATTTTCAAGGTCCATCCATGGTGTAGTATGTATCAGTGTTTTTAAAAAAATTTTTTTTTAAGAGGGAGGTCTCTCTGTGTTGGCCAGGCTAGTCTTGAACTCCTGACCTTAAGTAATCCTCCTGCTTCAGCCTCCCAAAGTGCTGAGATTAGAGGTGTAAGCCACGTGGCCAGCCAGTATTTCATTTCTTTTTATGGCTGAATCACATTCCATGGCATGGACAGACCACATTTTCTCATCCATTGATGGGTATTTGAGTTGTCTCCCAAATAGTTTTTTAAATGGTTAAAAATGAATGAGTATGATGTGATGTGTATTTTTGCTTTTTGCTGTTATGAATACTGTTGCTATGAACATGCACAGACAGGTATTTGAGTGCCCGTTTTCAGTTCTCTTGGATGTATACCTAGGAGTAGAATTGCTGGGTCATATGGTGATGCTATATATAACTTGATTCTTTTTCTTTTCTTTTTTTTTTGTTTCAATCAAGCAGACCGTGAGCCAGAATGGGTTCAGAGAGACTCCCCGTATGTTAAACTTGTTGATGAACTGCCAAACTGTTTTCTTCCCCTTCCTTTCTGATTTTGATGAGCAAAACTTCTCAATATAGAGACTTTCAGCTCATCCTTGAATCTCCGCCACTCTCTGCACAGCAGCCAGGGATTCCCTTAAAGCTTGCACACGACTCCTGCCCCATCCCTACTTAAACCCCATTAACTGCTTCTTCCCAACGCACACACAAAAAATGCAACTTCCTCTGGGAAGGCTATGAGGCCCTACAGGACCAGGGCCTCCCGATCCTTGCCCCCCGACCACTCAGGTCTGAGGTCAAAGTCATTTCCTTGGAGAGACTCCAATACTGTCCTATCTGTTGTTCCTCCCACACCGTCTCTGTCTTCCACATGACTCTGATTTTGTTTTTCATCACACTCATCACAACCTGAGCAGAAGGAAAGATGATACCTCACTGCAGACCACAAGGTCTAGCTGCCCTGGGCCCGTCCCTGGTGCCACTGTCTGTCTCACGGTCTATGCTCCAACTGCCAAACCAGCTCCTGCCACAGGCCCTTTGCACTTGCTGCCCACCCCTACCCAGAATGCTCTGCTCTCATGGGTGACTTTTTCTCAGTTATTTGGTTTTGACTCAGATTTTACCTATCAAAGAGGCCCTCTGTGGTAGGCTGAACAATGGCCCCTCCAAAGATGTCTGCATCCTAATTTTCTGGGACCTGTGACTGTGTTGCTTTGGGATTAAATCAAAGGTGCCAAGATTGGGAGATGACCTGGGGCTTACCTGGTGGGTTGATGTAACCACAAGGGTCCTTATGAGAGGGACACAGGAGTCAGTCTTGGGGAAGAAGGTGACGTGGAGACAGAGGCAGCGGCTGGAGTGATGCACTTTGTGGGTGGAGGAGGGGGCTATGAGCCAAGGAGTTCAGGCGACCTCTAGAAGCTGAAAAAGGTGAAGAAACGGATTGTCCCTTAGAGCTTCCAGAAGGGATGCAGCCCTGCAGACTCCTTAACTTTAGCCAGGTAGAACCGTTTTGGACTTCTGACCTCCAGAAATGAAAGATAATGAGAAGATAATCAATTTGTGTTGTTTTAAGTCACTATGTTCATGATTTGTTACAGTAGCTAACAGAAAGCTTCTTGACCAACCCAGGCCCCACCCCAGGCAGAGTCTAAGCCGCTCCTTTCTTAGCTGTTCCCTTATTGTCCTCATTTCATTGTTGCTTGAGTATCCTACAAATGGAAGCTCAGAGCTAGTTCAGAGCATGTGTGTATATATATATATATATATTTTTTTTTTTTTGGAGATAAGGTTCCACTCTGTCCCCCAAGCTGGAGTGCAGTGGTGCGATCACAGCTCACTGCAGCCTCAACTGCCCTGGGCTCAAGTGACTCTCCAGCCTCAGCCTCCCCAGTGGCTGGGACCACAAGCACGCACCATCACACCTGGCTAATTTTTAACTATTTTATAGAGATGAGGGTCTCACCATGTTGTCCAGGCTGGTCTCAAACTCCTGGGCTCAAGCAATCCACCCACACATCAGCCTCCCAAAGTGTTGGGATTATAGGCAAGAGCCACCACACCCAGCAGTTTGCAAATTTTAAAACTTTCTGACTGTTGCCAATCTGTCCTCCAGAAACATGTTGCCAATTCCCAGCTTCACCCACACCAAGGGAGAGGTCGCTTCCCTCTACTGTTGGCATCGTGGCTACAGAAAACACTGCTGTCCTCCCTGAGGGCACCGTTCCCTCCCTCCCCTTCCCTTGACCACCAGTTAAAGGATATGAAGGCTCAGTCTCCCAGGCTCTTGGCATTTTCATGTACTGTTTCCTCTGCCTGCAAATCTTTTCCCAGCTTTGAGTGGCAGGCCTATTTTGTCATTTCCAGGTTAGTTTAACTCAGAGAGGCCTTCCCTGGCCTCCCAACCTAAGGTTGCCATCAGGTCCTGCCTAATCCTACTATCTGTTTTACTTCTTTACTTAGCCCTTTTGGTTCCCTGGTATTTACTTAAGTCTCCAGCATTCTCCACAAGCAGGGGCCTCGTCTGTTTCATCGCTGTATCCCAGTGCCCAGAACAGTGCTTGACGATAGTAGGTGCTCAATAAATACGTGTAGACTAAATAATGAATGAATAATAATATATTTTTTTCTATCTTGGTGAGCTATTTCTGTTATAGTTTTGAGTCTTGTTATCTTCCCAAAGCATCCTTCCTAACTTCAAACCATTCTTAATTAGTTCTCAAGATGGAGTAATAGGAATGGTAGTTGGGTAGGAACATAAACAAGTTTTCAAATGTCAACAATAGTTGATTTTTTAAATACAAGAAGAGACAAAAAGGTCACATATTGTTTGACTTTATTTATGGGAAATATCCAGAACAGGCAGACGCACAGAGACAGAAAGCAGACGAGTGGCTGCCAGAGGCTGGAGGAGGGGAATGAGGAGGGAGTGTTTAATGGGTACAGGGTTTTATTTTGGGGTGATAAAAATGTCTGAAACTAGGTAGAGGTGGTGGTTATACAACACTGTGAATATACTAAATGCCACTTTTTAATTAATTTTTTTTTTTTGAGAAGGAGTCTTGCTCTGTTGCCCAGGCTGGAGTGCAGTGGCATGATCTCAGCTCACTGAAGCCTCTGCCTCCCAGGTTCAAGTGATTCTCCTGCCTCAGCCCCCCGAGTAGCTGGGATTATAGGCACCCACCATCATGCCCAGCTAACTTTTGTATTTTTAGTAGAGACGGGTTTCACCATGTTGGCCAGGCTGGTGTCGAACTCCTGGGCTTGAGTGATCCTCCCACTTTGGCTTCCCAAAGTGCTAGGATTGTAGGTGTGATCCATTGCGTTCGGCCACTTTTTAATGTAATGTAATTTAATTTAATTCAATTTTTTTTCTTGAGGCAGGGTCTTGCTCTGTTGCACAGGCTGGAGTGCAGTGACGCCATCTCGGTTCACTGCAGCTTCAACCTCCCGGGCTCAAGTGATCCTCCTGCCTCAGCCTCAAGAGAATTTGAGACTACAGGTGCATGCCACCATGCCTGGCTGATTTTTATATTTTTTTGGTACAGACGGCATCTTGCCATGTTGCCCAGGCTGGTCTCAAACTCTTGGCCTCAAGTGATCCTCCCACCTCAGCCTCCCAAAGTGCTGGGATTACAGGCATGAGCCACTGCACTCGGCCTACTTTTTGGTTTTTGGAAGTAGCTCTGTGGACGGGTGTGAGATGATATCTTACTGTGGTTTCAATTCGTATTTTTCTGGTTATGAGTGATGTTCATCTTTTCATTTGCTTATTGGCCATTTGTATATCATCTTTGGAGACAAGACTATTCAAGTATTTTGCCCCCTCCTGCTTTTTCTTTCTTTCTTTTTTTTTTTTTGTGAGTCAGGTTCTCGCTCTGTTGCCCAGGCTAGAGTACAGTGGTGTGATCTTGGCTCACTGCAACCTCCACCTCAGCCTCCTGGGTAGCTGGGACCACAGGCACACACCACCACACCCAGCTAATTTTCTTTGTATTTTTATAGAGATGGGGCTTTCACTATGTTGGCCAGGCTGGTCTCAAACTCCTGAGCTCAAGCGATCCTCCCACATCAGCCTCCCAAAGTGCTGGGATGAGAGGCATGAGCCACCACACCTGCCCCCGCCATGTTGCTTTTTGTTTGTTTGTTTGTTTTTGAGATAGGGCCTTGCTTTGTCATCCAGGCTGGGGTGCAGTGGCTGCTCACGGCTCACTGCAGCTTCAGTCTCCCAGGCTCAAGTGATCCTCCTGCCTCAGCCTGTAGCTGGGACTACAGCACTCACCATCACACCTGGCTAATTTTTTCATTTTTTGGAAAGATGGATTCTTGCTATGTTGCCCAGGCTGGTCTTGAACTCATATCAAGTGCTCTATCTACCTTGGCCTCCCAAAGTGCTGGGATTGTAGGCATGAGCCATCACAATAAACTTTTTGCCATTTTAAAAATTAGGTTATTTGTTGATGAGTTTTAGCATATTCATCCTTTGTTAGATATATGATTTGCAAATAATTTCTCCCATTCCGTAGAAGGAATTCTGTTGATTGTGTCCTTTGATGCATAGTAGGCTCTGCCTTTTTATGAAGAAATGTTAAAGAATTCACAAGTGTTTTTTTTTTTTTTTTTTGAACCGGAGTCTTGCTCTGTTGCCCAGACTGGAGGGCAGTGGTGTGATCTTGCTCACTGCAGCCTCCGCCTTCCAGGTTTAAGCAATTTTCCTGCCTCAGCCTCCCAAGTAGCTGAGACTACAGGTGTGTGCCACCACCCCCGGCTGATTTTTTGTAGTTTTGGTAGAGACAGGGTTTTGCCATGTTGGCCAGGCTGGTCTCGAACTCCTGACCTCAGTGATCCACCCCCCTCAGTTTCCCAAAGTGGTAGGATTACAGAATTCATAAATGCTTTAAAACCATCCCTGACCAGGCATGGTGGCTAATGCCTGTAATTCCGGTACTTTGGGAGGCCAAAGCAGGAGGATCACTTGAGTCCAGGAGTTTGAATCTAGTCTGGGCAACATGGCAAGACCCTGTCTCTATAAAAATTTTTTAAAAAATTAGCCAGGTGTGGTGGCGAACACCTGCTGTCCCAGCTACCTGGGAGGCTAAGGTGGATCTCTTGAACCCGGGAGGCAGAGGTTGCATTGACACCCCAGATCACACCACTGCACTCCAGCCTGTGCGACAGAGCCAGACCCTATCTCAAGAGAGGGAGAGAGGGCTGGGCACGGTGGCTCATGCCTGTAATCTCAGCACTTTGGGAGGCCGAGGTGGGTCTTCCCGAGGAAGAGTCTTACTATGTTGCCCAGGCTGGTCTTGAACTCATATCAAGTGCTATATCTACCTTGGCCTCCCAAAATGCTGGGATTGTAGGCATGAGCCATCACAATAAACTTCTTGCCATTTTAAATGGCATGAGATCAGGAGTTTGAGACCAGCCTGGCCAACATAGTGAAACTGCGTCTCTACTAAAAATACAAAAAATTAGCCGGGGCCGGGCGCGGTGGCTCAAGCCTGTAATCCCAGCACTTTGGGAAGCCGAGGCGGGCGGATCACAAGGTCAGGAGATCGAGACCACAGTGAAACCCCGTCTCTACTAAAAATACAAAAAATTAGCCGGGCGCGGTGGCGGGCGCCTGTAGTCCCAGCTACTCAGGAGGCTGAGGCAGGAGAATGGCGGGAACCCGGGAGGCGGAGCTTGCAGTGAGCCGAGATCGCGCCACTGCACTCCAGCCTGGGCAACAGCGTGAGACTCCGTCTCAAAAAAAAAAAAAAATTAGCCGGGCATGGTGGCATATGCCTGTAGTCTCAGCTACTCAGGAGGCTGAGGCAGGAGAATTGTTTGAACCTGGGAGGCAGAGGTTGTAGTGAGCTGAGATCGCACCACTGTACACCAGCCCAGGCGACAGTGCGAGACTCCATCTCAAAAATAAAAATAAAAATAAAATAAAAATAAAAATAAAAAGAGGGAGAGAGAGAGAGAGACAGGGAGACAGAGAGAGAAAAGAAAGCCATCACTACGTATAAAAGGGGTTTTGGCAAAAAGTAAGTCTTGCCCTGCCTTGACTTCCCTCCCCAGAGGCAACCTCTATTACCAGTTTGCTGTATAGCTTTCCGGTGATTTTCTTTGAGTTTTCTAATGTAACATTTCCACAGACAATTGTGCAATTTGTTTTTATGCAAAATGAACCTTGGCTGGGGGCCTCAGTATCCCCATTGGTAAGACAAGGGAGTTGGAGTGGATAATTCCTAAAGACTGCTGGGAGGAACACAGCCCGCATGTTGGGAAAGATCCCAGCCATGCTCCTCGGCCCTCCTTTCATGAAGGTTTATGAAGGCTCTGTCTTGATTTTTTTTTTTTAAAGACAGAATTTCACTCTTTATTGCCCAGGCTGGAGTGCAATGGCACGATCTCAGCTCACCGCAACCTCTGCCTCCCGGGTTCAGGTGATTCTCCTGCCTCAGCCTCCTGAATAGCTGGGATTACAGGCATGCGCCACCACGCCCGGTTAATTTTGTATTTTTAGTAGAGATGGAGTTTCACCATGTTGACCAGGCTGGTCTCAAATTCCCGACCTCAGGTAATCCGCCCGCCTTGACCTCCCAAAGTGCTGGGATTACAGGTGTGAGCCACCGTGCCCAGCCAGCTCTGTCTTGAGAGGTTATTTCTTTTTGTTGTTGTTGTTCTTTTGATAGAGGGTCTTGCTCTGTCACCCAAGCTGGATTGCAGTGGGGTGATCATAGCTTGCTGCAACCTCTACCTCCCAGCCTCAAGTGATCCTCCCACCTCAGCCTTCTGAGTAGCTGGGACCACAGGCATGCACCACCACACCCAGCTATTTTTGTATTTTGTATTTTTTGTAGAGAAGGGGTCTCACTGTGTTGCCCAGGCTTGTCTCAAACTCCTGGGCTCAAGTGATCCTCCCGTCTCAACCTCCCAAAATGCTGGGATTACAGGCATGTGCCACCATAACCTGGCCCCAAAGAGGTTATTTTTTAAAGGAGAAAGCCATTTTCTCTGAACAGCATTAGCGTCTGTTCTGTGGGAATACAGGAGTGCTTGTTTTGTTCCACTTAATAAGAACTCAGTTCCTCCTGTCAGCTCGATGCTGGGAAAAACTCTAATTTCAGTTCTTTATTTTTCAGAAACTCCAAAGAACATGGAAATGAGACCACAGGAAGAATCCAGAACTACTACCCATCATAAAATTTCTATCTGCAAGTTGTGTCTACAGTGTGCCAGTTATTGATGAGGGTGAGGCCGAAAGTGGGACAGTGTGGGGAAGATTTTTCAATTGCTCCCCAATTACCATATTCCTTTTTTCTTTTCTTTTTTTTTTTTTTTGAGACAGAGTCTCACTCTGTTGCCCAGGCTAGAGTGCAGCGGCGTGATCTTGGCTCAGTGCAACCTCCGCCTCCCGGGTTCAAGCAATTTTCTGCCTCAGCCTCCCGAGTAGCTGGGATTACAGGCAGCCGCCACCACGGCCGGCTAATTTTTGTATTTTTAGTAGAAACGGGGTTTCACCATCTTGGCCAGGCTGACTCCCTCCCAAAGTGCTGGGATTACAGGCATGACGCCTGGCTCATATTCCTCTTTTCTTTTTAGAGTCCCTAAAGTTCCAGAGGGGCATACGTCACCCAGCTAGAGGTGATGTTTTCCAGCTTCCACTGAAGCTAGGTGTGACCTCGAGATTATGTTCTGGCCTATAAGATACAGGTAGATGATGTGATGGGAATACTTCCAGGCCACATGGTTAGAAGGGAAGCTCCTAACCTTCTAACCTTTCTCCCTCTCTTTGAGCTGGAACATGGACAGGGTTCGAGAAGCCAGCTCTGTCCCTGGGGATGGTGGAGCAGCTGGATGCTGGGTCCCTGGGTCCCTGGGTGACCACATGGAGGTGAATCTCCTGCCTTCTTAGACTAGTAGCCACCTCTGCAATGTTAAGGGAGAGAGGAATACGTTTCTAATTTGTTAGAGCCACTGTATTTTGGGGTCTCTTAGGAGCTCAACGTATACCCTAATACAGGTGGCTTTCACCTTTTTATACAACTTTTTTATTTTTTGAGACAGAGTCTTGCTCTGTCACCCAGGTGGAGTATAGTGGTGTGATCTCGGCTCACTGCAACCTCCGCCTCCCAGGTTCAGGTGATTCTCCTGTCTCAGCCTCCCAAGTAGCTGGGACTACAGGTGCCCGCCACCATGCCCAGCTAATTTTTGTATTTTTAGTAGAGACAGGGTTTCGCCATGTTGGCCAGGCTGGTCTCAAACTCCTGACCTCAGGTGATTTGCCCACCTCGGCCTCTTGAAGTGCTGGGATTACAGGTGTGAGCCACTGCACCTGGCCCTTTTTATACAACTTTGATTTTTACTTTTATTTTTTTTTTTTGAGACTGAGTCTCGCTCTGTTGCCTAGGCTGCAGTGCAGGGGCACAATCTCAGCTCACTGCAACCTCTGCCTCCTGGGTTCAAGTGATTCCCCTGTCTCAGCCTCCCAAGTAGCTGAGATTACAGGTGTGCAGCACTGCACCCGGCTAATTTTTGTATTTTTAGTAGAGACGGGGTTTTGCCGTATTGGCCAGGATGGTCTCACTCTCTTGACCTTGTGATCCGCTCGCCTCAGCCTCCCAAAGTGCTAGGATTACAGGCGTGAGCCACCGCGCCCAGCCACTTTACTTCTAATGAAAGAAAAGATCTTGTTTACAATAGCAACTGTAATGATAAAATATTTAACAACAAACTTCCCAAGGAGTGTAGAGGATACAAACGTAAAAACCTTTAAAAAAATTATACTATTGTTGAAATATAAAAAGAGACTTACATTCATGGGAATACAGTCTTTCTTCTTAGAGAGGAAGAATCAGCTTTGGAAAGATGCCAAGAGCTTGCTAAATTTAACTAGAAATCCATGCAATCCCCATTAAAATACCAACACAACATTTTGGGAGGTTTGAGAAAATGGTGCCCAAGTTCACCAAAAGATGTGAATAACGGAAAATTGCCAGGAAAATTTTAGAAATAAAAAATAACGAGGGGGTCAGGCACTGTGGCTCATGCCAGTAATCCCAGCACTTTGGCAGGCTGAGGTGGGAGGATTGCTTGAGGCCAGGAATTCGAGACCACCCTGGTAAACACAGCAAGACCCCATCTCAACAAAATTAAAAAAAAAAAAAAATCAGACCAGGCATGACAGCTCATGCCTGTAATCTCAGTGCTTTGGGAGGCCAAGGTAGGTAGATCACTTGAGGCCAGGAGTTTGAGACTAGCCTGGCCAACATGGCAAAACCCTGTCTCTACTACAAATATAAAGAAATGTCAGCTGGTGTGGTAGCAGGCGCCTACAATCCCAGCTACTTGGGAGATTGAGGCACGAGGATCGCTTGAACCCAGGAGGTGGAGGTTGCAGTGAACAGAGATTGCTCCACTGCATTCCAGCCTGGGTGACAGAGCAAGACTCTGTTTTTTTAAAAAAAAAAAAATCAGCCAGGCATGGAGGCGTGCACCTGTAGTCCCGTCCTAGCTACTCTGAGGGCTGAACTGAGAGGATCGCTTGAGCCCAGGATGTAGAGGCTGCAGTGAGCTATGATCGCATCATTGCACTCCAGCCTGGGTGACAGAGCGAGGCCCCATCTCTAAAAATAATTATGTATATCTATATAATTATATATATTGTGTGTGTGTATATATATATATACACACACATACTGTATATATATATTTCAATGTTTTACCTGGTTTTATTTATGTATTTATTTATTTTGAGACAGAGTCTCACTCTGTTGCCCAGGCTGGAGTGCAGTGGCATGATCTCAGCTCACTGTAATCTCTGCCTCCTGGGTTCAAGCTATTCTCCTGCCTCAGCCTCCTGAGTAGCTGGGATTATAGGCATGTGTCACTAAGTCCAGCTAATTTTTGTATTTTTAGTAGAGACAGGGTTTTGCTATGTTGGCCAGACTGGTCTTGAACTCCTGGCCTCAAGTGATCTGCCTGCCTCGGCCTCCCAAAGTGTTGGGATTACAGGTGTGAGCTACTGCGCATGGCCTATTTTATTATTAGTTATTGTTGTTAATCTCTTACTGTGCCTAAATTATAAATTAAATTTTATCATGGAGAAAAACAGTCTATACCGGGTTCAGTGCTATCTCAGGTCTCAGGCGTCCACTAGGGATCTTGGAACGTATCCCCTGAAGATAAGGAAGGACCCCACCGCTCCGCTGGAATTCAAAATAACCCGCCCACTCCACAGTGAGGTGGGTAAAAGCCAGTCTGACAGTGCTTTGATGATCTTGTACTCTCTACTCTTTGCTTTTGCAGAACATTAATCACCAAATGTTTTCCACATTTTGCAAGAGGAGAACAGGTGTCGGGGGTGAGGGAGGGCCTCGCTTTCATCTAATAGGCCTTTCTGTTCTTTCTGTTTCTCTTGGATTTTGTGAAGCTCAGACTCCAGCATCTGACAACTCAGGTTCACATTCGGGCCTGGTTACTCCCTCCCTGTGTCCCTGTGTGACCTTGAACAAGTTACTTTATTTCTCTGTGCCTCAGTTTCCTCATCTGAAAAGTAGAGATAATATTGGTTCTAACTCCAGAGGTGAATGTGGGGATTCAATGAATTAAAATGTAAAACAGTTAGAACACTGCCATGCACGAAGTTCAGTCTTGATGAATATTAGCTATTATTATGATCAATATCTGCCATGGGACAAGGTGCAGGGGCACATACCTATAATCCCAGCATTTTGGGAGGCAGAGGTGGGAAGTTCACTTGAGCCCAGGAGCTGGAGACCAGCCTGGGCAACATAGAGACCCTGTCTCTACAAACAATAATAAAAAAAACAGGCCAGGCACAGTGGTTCATGTAATCCCAGCACTTTGGGAGACCGAGGCGGGCAGATCACCTGAGGTCAGGAGTTTGAGACCAGCCTGGCCGACAGGGTGAAACCCCGTCTCTACTAAAAATACCAAAAATTAGCCAGGTGTAGTGGTGGGTGCCTGTAATCCCAGCTACTTGGGAGGCTGAGGCAGGAGAATCACTTGAACCCAGGAGGCGGAGGTTGCAGTGAGCTGAGATGGCGCCACTGCACTCCAGCCTAGGCAGCAAGAGTGAAACTCTATCTAAAAACAAAAAACAAAAAAGCTGGGCATGGTGTGCATCCCTGTGGTCCCAGCTACTCGGGAAGCTGAGGCGGGAGGATTGCTGGAGCCCAGGAGGTCAAGGCTGCAGTGAGCTGCGATTGTGCCACTGCACTCCAGCCTGGGCGACAGAACCAGACCCTGTCTCAAAAGAAAAATAAAATCTGTCATGGGTTGAATTGTGTTCCCAAAAAGATAGGCTGAAGCCCTGTCCTTTGATACCTCAGAATGTGACTTCATTTGGAAGTAGGGTCATTGCAGATGAGTGACATCCTGCTGGAGCAGGTTGGGCTAATCCAACAGGACTGGCGTCCTTGTAAGAGCAGAGCCATCTTGTGAACACAGATGTACACGGGAAAGATGGTGTCAGACTCAGGGATGATGGCCCCATGACCTCAGAGGCGTCTGCAAGCCAAGGAGCCCCGAGGATTGCCAGCCAGCCCCCTGGAAGCTGGAAGAGCGAGGAAGGAGCCTCGGAGCCTTCGGAGGGAGCGTGGCCCTGCAGACATCCCCATCTCAGACTTCCAGCCTCCAGAACTTCCAGAGAGTAAACTTTCTGTTTATTTATATCTTTTTATTTTTTTGAGACGGTCTCACTCTGTCACCCAGGCTAGAATGCAGTGGCATAATCTCAGCTCACTGCAGCCTCAACTTCCCTGGGTTCAGGTAATCCTCCCACCTCAGCTTCCCAAGGAGCTGGGAGTACAGCCATGCACCACCACACCTGGGTAATTTTTGCATTTTTTGTAGAGATGGGGTTTGGCCATGTTGTCCAGGCTGCTCTTGAACTCCTGGACTCAAGCGATCCTCCCACCTCGGCCTCCCCAAGACCTGGGATTGCAGGTGTGAGCTACTGCGCCCGGCTTTCTGTTGCTTTAAGCTGCCAGGTTTGTGGTGCTTTGTATGGCAACCCTAGCAAACTAACACTATATCTATTCACAATTGTTTGATAAATTAAAACAAAAACAAGTCTTGAAAGCATCTCTTTCTCCCTCCTTCCTGTGCCTGGGGGTGGGTGGGGAGTCTGTGTTGAGCACCCCAGCTGAGACCAGGCAACTGCAGTGGCCTGCGAAGGTGTTTGGACTTTGTCC